GTCTGGATAAGAAAGTTAAAAGAGCTGGCTGAGGAGCTTGCTGGACCATGAATGTTAATTTTCAAGAAGTCTTGGAACGCTGGGGAAGTTTCACAAGACTGGAAGAAAGGTACGTTGTGCCAGTATTTAAAAAGGGTACAAGGGACAACTCAGGCAATTAAAGGCCTGTTAGTCTGACATTGATCCCGGACAAAGTAATGGAACGGCTGATATGGGACTCGATTGATAAAAATTAATTATAAGTAATATAACTAATGCCATTCAACATGGCTTATGGAAAATAGACCTAGTCAGCTAACGTGATTTTTGTTATGAGATGACAAGGTATGGTAATAGCGTTGATGTAATATATTTAGACTGCTGTAAGGCATTTGACTTGGTGACACAACATTTTGATTAAGGAATTAAAATGATACAAACTCAAATGACACCCAATGGCATACTAGGGTCCAATCCAGACTAATGAGTAGTTGGGTCACCCCTGTACCTGGGGTGCCCTTTGCAATGCCTTTGATGCTGTAGCCTCCAGCCCGGACTGCTCACAAACCGTCTCCAGCCTGTAAATCGCTCCCAGCTATGTCTGTGTGTACTGCAACCAGGCAGCCACACCCTGACTCCTACCAGCTGTAAAGATTACCACGGGGTGACCCCTCCTCTCTGTCCCTGTCTGTCTCTGGCATCTCACCCAAGTCAGATGCCAGATGGTGGCGGGGAGAGCGTGGCCCTGACCTGAGAGTTTGGTCACTAAGCTGCTGGAGCATGTGGTGAGAAACTTTGCTTGAATCGAATACAGTTTAAGTTAGGCCCTCGTAAATGTTTTATCGTTATTTTCTTGTAACTATTTCTGACTTTCAATGCCTCAATACTTTTACTCTCTTCAAATCTCTTTGTTGTTGTTAAACTTGTTTTATTGTTTTATATAATTCAGCGTGTTCAGGTTGAACTGTCTGGGTGACTCCATTTGGGGTAGCAAGTTGTGTGCATATTATTCCCTTACAGGAACAACGGACATAATGTAGTCATACTGTCCAGGAGAGGGCTGGGCAGAACAGGACATACATTTCTGGGGGGAAATCTGGGACTAACAGTGTGCTGGGGTCACACACATTAAATGAATTACACCTCAGCTAACTGATAGGTCTCAAATGTAACCATAAGCGGCGAATCAGCATCAGGCAGGTGTGTTTTCAATGGGGCCCTGAAGGGATCAGTTCTTGGCCCTATGCTATTTAACATTTTGATTAATGACCTGGAAGAAAACACAAAATCATCACTGATAAAGTTTGCAGATGAGACAAAGTTTGGGGGAATTGTAAATAATGAAGAGGACAGGTCTCTAATACAGAGTGACCCGGATTAATTGGTAAGCTGGGTGCAGTTTTAATGCAGCCAAATGTAAAGTCACACATCGAGGAACAAAGAATGTAAGCCACAGAATCATAGAAGATTAGGGTTGGAAGAGACCTCAGGAAGTCACTTAGTCCAACCCTCTCTTCAAAGCAGGACCAACCCCAACTAAATCATCCCAGCCAGGGCTTTGTCAAGCCGGGCCTTAAAAACCTCTAAGGAAGGAGATTCCACCACCTCCCTAGGTAACCCATTCCAGTGCTTCACCACCCTCCTAGTGAAATGGTGTTTCCTGTTATCCAATCTAGACCTCCCCCACTGCAACTTGAGACCATTGCTCCTTGTTCTGTCATCTGCCGCCATTGAGAATAGCCGAGCTCCATCCTCTTTGGAACCCCCCTTCAGGTAGTTGAAGGCTGCTATCAAATCCACCCTCACTCTTCTCTTCTGCAGGCTAAGTAAGCGCAGTTCCCTCAGCCTCTCCTCATAAGTCATGTGCTCCAGCCCCCTAATCATTTTCATTGCCCTCCGCTGGACTCCCTCCAATTTGTTCACATTCCTTCTGTAGTGGGGGGCCCAAGACTGGACACAATACTCCAGGTGTGGCCTCATCAGTGCCAAATAGAGGGGAATAATCACTTCCCTCGATCTGCTGGCAATGCTCCTACTAATGCAGCCCAATATGCCATTGGCCTTCTTGGCAACAAGGGCACACTGTTGACTTATATCCAACTTCTCGTCCACTGCAGTCCCCAGGTCCTTTTCTGCAGAACTGCTGCTTAGCCAGTCGGTCCCCAGCCTGTCGCGGTGCATGGGATTCTTCCGTCCTAAGTGCAGGACTCTGCACTTGTCCTTGTTGAACCTCATCAGATTTCTTTTGGCCCAATTCTGCAATTTGTCTAGGTCACTCTGGACCCTATCCCTACCCTCCAGCGTATCTACCTCTCCCCCTCACTTAGAGTCAGGGTGACCAGACAGCAAATGTGAAAAATCGGGACGGGGGGAGGGGGGTGTAATAGGAGCCTATATAAGAAAAAGATGCAAAAATCGGGACTCTCCCTATAAAATCGGGACATCTGGTCACCCTACTTAGTCATCCCTGAACTTGCTGAGGGTGTATCCATCCCATCATCCAGATCGTTAATGAAGATGTTGAACAAAACCGGCCCCAGGACCGACCCTTGGGGCATTCCGCTTGATACCAGATGCCAACTAGACATCGAGCTGTTGATCACTACTCGTTGAGCCCGACGATCTAGCTTTCTATCCACTTTATAGTCCATTCATCCAATCCATACTTCTTTAACTTGCTGGCAAGAATATTGTGGGAGACCGTATCAAAAGCTTTGCTAAAGTCAAGGTATGTCACGTTTTAAGGAAAACTTGCCTTAAAGTGATAGATAGAGCTCCTTCAGTCTATTTAGTTTAACAAAGACCGAAGATTAAGGGCTGGCTTAATCACAGTCCATAAGCACCTACATAGGGCACCAATATTTAACAGTGGGCTCTTCGCTCTAGTAGACAAAGGTTTGAACAAGATCCAAGGGCTGGAAGTGGAAGCGAGACAAATTCAGACTGGAAAAAAGGTGCAACATTTGAACAGTGAGGGTAACTAACCACTGGACCAACTCACCACGGGTTGTGATGGGTTCTCTAGCACTGGCCTTTGTTCGATCAAGATTGGATCTGCTCTAGGGCAACAGGAATTAGTTCAGGGAGGGTCTAATGCAGGTGGTCAGACTGAGCCCTTCTGTCCTCGGAATCTATGGATCAAACCTCCCAGGTTCTGGACCCCAGGGACCATTTGTAACAAGCCGGCAGTGGCAGGGGTCCTGGATTCCATTCCCTGTCAGCCAGCCCAGGCATTGTACCTGCTTGGTGCTTCAGTTCAGGGCGTGGGGGAGCTCTGGCTAGGCAGGGGTGTATTCAGCTCTGTGGGGGGCAGTGCCTATGCAGGGACTGTGTGGGTGCAGCAAGTTGGGTGTTTTCTGCCCCCTCAGGGCCAGGTTATTTTGGATGGAAAGGCAAGGAGGGCAGCGGTAAAGAGGAGGGGGAGGGGAAGAAGCTGCCTGGAGCAATGGGTTGGATGCAGGAGGGAAGGAGGAACAGGAGGGCGGTGCATGCAGGAGACTGGGTGCTGCTGGCTCTGACTTGGCCTCACCCTAGGCAGGAAAGGAGATGGGGGTAGTCAGCCTGGAGTGAAGTGGGATGGTTGGTGCTGGAGACAGGTGGAGGGTGGGTGTGTATGCAGAGGGTGGTGCTGACTGTGTCTCTTCCTCGGGCATGGAGGGGGGCCTGTGCATGCAGGGGACGGGGCTGGCTCTGCCCTCCGGGCTGGAGGGAGGCTGGTGGGTGGGTGGGTTTGCTGTGGTATGCAGGGGGCTGTGCTGGGGGGGCTGGCTGTGCATGGAGGGGGCAGTGCTGGTTCTGCCCTCAGGCTGGAGGGAGGCAGGGGGTGGTGGCTATGCATGCAGGGGGCGGTACTGGGGGGGATGGCTGTGTATGCAGGGGGTGGTGCTGGAGGGGGGGTGGCTGTGTATTCAGGGTGTGTAGCTTGGGGGCGTGGCTATTCATTCAGGGGGCAGTGCAGGGGGGCGTGGCTATGCATGCAGGGGTGCTGGAGGGGGGTGGCTCTGCATGGAGGCGTGGCTATGCATGCAGGG